GGTGTGGAGGTGAGGGTGTTGGAGGGGGAGGGGTTTGAGGGGCATGTTCAGATGTTGTTGCGGCTTGGCGATGGGGAGTACCCTGCTACGGGGGTGATGAAGGAGTGGTTGGAGAAGCATGTTCGTGTGTAAATAATGTTACGAGGTTGATAGGAATACTACTCTATCCTAGCACCGTCACAGCGAATGTGGCTCAGAAAGGGTTTCCTGATATAATGTGTTATTGCTCATTTATTAAAGCATGAGTATCATGAATCAAGGTAGTATAGGAGCTAAATCAAGTCGAAATAGTCTGCCAGGCCATACATCCCCGTTCTTCTTCTTGTACTCAAAGTCTTGTACTGGACTGAAGCCAGCGCTTTCGTAGTACCTGACCAGTTTGTCTGTACCTCCGGTCCAGCAATCGAGGAAAATGGCTCGTTTCCCGTATTCAGACGCGTAGGTTTTTACATGCTCCAGTAATGCCAGCCCAGCACCTTTGCGCTGAGCTGAAGGTACGCGATGATCAGTGATAAGGAAGTCCAGAAACACAAAGCCAGCACGTTCCTCAGCAGCGGCTATATGAGGCTTTAAAACAGTGACGGAGCGAGTATGGTTTGCAAATTCATCGTCGAGAATCATTGCAGCGCCCACTGAGACGAAAGTTCTACCCGTTTCATGATCTTTCCGGCGGTGAAGGTTTACGGCATCATCGCCAAAATGTGTTTCCTCAATCTCTGCGATAAAGATTCTTCGCCGCTCGCCTTGGCCGATAAGTCGGAAGGTTTCTGACTGCTTGATATCTTCCCGGGTGCCTTGTAAGAAGCCATCTCTCTTTGAGAAAGGAACTGTGCCCCATTGGCCTGTGTTGCCAGTCTCGTTGAGGAATGGTAGGGTAGAGTCGAAAGCTGCCGTGATGAACTCGGCGTCCCTCAGGCCTGACCCCGCATCACGAATCTGGAACATAGGATTGATGAATTGTAGATTCAAACAAAGATTTAAGCAATTCCAATCTCTCAAGGAATGAATGTGTCAAGCTGGTCTTGAGAAAAAAAAATTAGTTATACCTGTTGCGAGATTTACCGTTCTGAAGGATTCAGTATAGGGTGTTTGATAATGTGGCGCAGGCTGTGGCTGTACCCCACGAACTCAAGCCTCACCCAAGACGCGTCGCGCGCGTTCAAGGTTCAATGAAGTGAAGCCAACGTTAACACACTCACAGCCCAAGATGCCACCCCGAAAAAGAAGTGCACCTACCGCCGACGCTTCAGAAGAAGCTGCGCCCAAACGGCGATCCCTTCGGCAAGCGGCCAAAGGCAATCCCGAGCCTGAGGCGCCTCCCCCAGCCAAAGTAAGCCCGCCAAAGAAGGTTACCAAGGCGACGACTGTGAAGAAGCAAGAGAAACCCAAGGCAACAGCAAAGCCAGCAAAAACTGAGAAGCCCGAAGCGCCAAAGGAGAAGAAGACGGCCAAGAAGCAAGAACCTGCTCAGTCTGGCTCTCGTGGCGTCTCTGAGGATCCAGATATCGACTCAATCCCGACTATCAATCCTGATGCCCCGAAGCACGATGGCCAGTGGTACTGGCTGATGAAAGCTGAGCCTGAGACTCGTATCGAGAATGGAGTTGATGTCAAGTTTTCTATTGATGACTTGAAAGCAAAGACAGAACCTGAGGGATGGGATGGTATGTTTTCATATACTTCAAGGGATCTCCCATACTGACTGGATACAGGCATTAGAGCTTACGCTGGTATGAACCCATGATTGGTGGAGGAGATGTGATGAGACTGATGCTTAGTAGCTCGGAATAACATGAGAAACATGAACGCTGGTGATCTCGCCTTCTTCTACGCCAGCAACTGCAAAGAACCCGGCATAGTCGGCATAATGGAAATCGTCAAAGAATTCTCCGAAGACAGCAAGTCCCCTATCACCGTCAACCCAATGTCCATCATCTAACATCACCAGGATCTGCTCGTCGACCAGGCGCACCATACTACGACCCCAAGTCTACGAAAGAGAAACCCATCTGGGACCTGGTCCACGTCGAGTTCAGAAAGAAGTTTGCTGTGCCTATTGGTCTGAAGGAACTACGCGAGCTGGGTAAATCTGGTGGTCCTTTGGAGATGATGCAGTTGCTTAAACAGTCGAGATTGAGTGTGAGTAAAGTTAGTGGTGAGGAGTGGAGGTTTTTGTGTGAGCTTGCGGATGAGAAGGCGAAGGATGCGGGGTTGAAGCATGATGAGGGTGAGAAGTAATGGTGTTTCGGGGAGATAGAAGATAACCCCCGCAAGCGAGTCAGCGTGGCTTAGAATGAAGGATGCTCGTGTTGCGATACTATAGCTAGTAATTACATATGCAAGAAGCTGCACTTGGAAGAGTCGAACAAGCCGTAGATTTGGCGTACGAAAAATCTGGGACTGCCAAGGTCCGATCCCGTATGCACCATAGTGCAAAGAGCGCTTCACATATGCGCGGGCGGCCGCTCTGGGGTCTCTGTCCAGAGCAGCTCGCTTAGCCGCAGTGGGGATTTAGCTCTGTGTTCAGTCACCTCAGCATTGAATTCATTAATAACGACCTGCAAGTCGAAAGCATATCTTGCCCAAAGCGAGACAAGCAGAAAAATACTCGTCTCCACATTCCATCATAACACCAAGAGACATCTGTGTTCATGAAGTGCGGGGAAGCGGTAAGTCAGGATCTCTCCATGGCAAGAATGTGGCTAGCTGAGAAGTCAATGTCTCAGCTCAGAAGCTTACACTACACAGACAGACCATTTCCCTCAAGCAACAACGTCGCGGCAGGAGTGATGAGGCTTGCATAAGCATAAATAGTTCCACAGCCTAAGCCAATCATAGGTACTGCATGGGACGGGCCAAGGCTCTGATAGGAATAGGTTGAGCAATAACATTTGGCACTATCGATATTCGCTTAAGATGCGGCGGTCCCTTCTGCCTTTCAGTACTCTGGAGCAGAATTCAGTTCCTCCCCGTTTCAAGCCACTAAAGCCATTCTTTTGTCCTAAACAATAGTAATACTGATAGAGCGAGAAGGTCTGGGCGTCCATGTCTTCCAAACTTGTGGAATGCTAGAAAACTGCACATCTGCACCCAATATAGGGAAACGCAACCACCTTGACTGCTACTCTCTGGCCTTTTTAGAGCTTATCTTCTTAAACTCAGTCAGCACGAAAATTCAACAACGACCCTAAGCTAGCACAAAATGGTTTGGAAACTCACGTTAAAGGAAGTTTTACCTGTGGACCTGGCCACCAATCCTTTTGGCAATGGCGGTCGCAATGCAGAGCATAGTGCCGCCACGGACCAGATCGAAGCCGACGCAAAAGCCCTTCACTATTGGGAAATTCCGGACGAAAGTCGCATGAAGATTGATGATTTGGATCCGGACTACCAACGATACGTTGCCGTCGAATTTAAAGACAAAGGCTCCACCAAGATCCGGTTCATCAAGGAGAAATGGTGGACTTGGTACCTTTGCGCGAGTAAACAGCTCTCAGTTCGCGATCCCGATGACGATGCGCCAAGTGTCGATATGGGGACAGCTGAGGCCCCTGGAATCTCTGAAGATGAGCTCCCAGAGGCTCTCCAAGAGCATAATATTAAGGCACTTGATCAACTTGGAGCTGCTGCGAATATTCAGATACCGGGCCAGGGGCAGGCAAAGATGATAAACCTTTGCACTTTGCTCCGAAACTGTGTCACTGCAGAACAGGTAAGAAAAAATGCTGTGACAGCGCTGGAGTTGGCTGGGGTGAAAAATTGGGATGAAAGTAAGCGTGGGAATAAGGATCAAAGCCCGGAGGGCCGATTTCGACATTTCACCTTTAAGAAAATCGAGTATGGTGACAAGTTTTTCGGCTACTACTTCATCCTTGATGAGAAATTGGACAAGACAACATTGTCAGTGAAAGAAAAGTACGTCAAGCTGAAGACAGCTGATGTGGTGGCGATTAGTCTCACCACTAAAGATGTCTACTTGCCAGAGTCTTTCATCAGGAATTTGGCTGGAGGCTTCGATCCCACGGTACCAGAGAGGAAGTCTAAAGCTGGCCTTGCCGCCAACATCAAGAAGTACGAAAAGAATCCTCTACCGGGACGAATCGCTGAAGAATTAGAAGCAAAGGGATCGAAGAGAAGGGAGAAAGAGGCAGAAAAGGCAGAGCGGATGTCAGCGCGAAAGCCATTCTGGGCTCGCGATGCCGACGGCAGGCCGTTTCTTGTTGAAGTACGGGACAACAACTCGGTCAGCTGGAGTCCCGAAGCGTGGGCTCGGCGGTTTGAATCGGCAGTGACTCCGTCCCAGGAAGACAAAGGTTGGAACCGTTTTATCAACTCCGAGCTAGATATCTTCATTCTTCCGACAAACGAGAGCTCAGTGATCCGAGAACTTGTCACAGACACGAAGAAAAGACTGAGACTCCCTATCGATGGCGAAAAGATTCTAAAGCCATCAACTTGCAAGCAAAACGTCAAAGTCATTCAACTAAACAACAAAGATCAACTCGAGGAATCAAATGGGGTCACTCAAGTTACGATCCCAGAATTTGGCCCATTAATCAAAGTAAGTCAGGTTAAGCGGGTCTGTCAACAATCTACTGAGACCTTGAATAGGTTGGGCGATCTCCGTTTCATGATTACGAGACATACATAAAAAAGGCCGACTGGGAGACCTATTCTTTCTACAGGCCCTCTCGTCCAATATTTCAGCCGTCAATGCTTTCGGAGGTCGATCAGGTCTTGGCTGACAAGAAGACGGCCTATACGGCTGAGAAAAGATCCAAACTCGAAAGCTTGAGGAAAAGCGCAGAGGCTGGAAAAGACAGGACTAGAAAGCGCCTAGAAGAGTCACTTGGCGAGGGAGACAAGGCGAAACTCCAAACGGGTAGGGTCATAGCTATTGAAGTGACTGCCAGCAAGATCTATGCTGCCGCAACGCGACGTTCCGAAGCACCAGACCAGAAGGAGGTGATGGGAGATAGCGCTACGATGGTACGAAATCTTTTGATGATATTTCCAAGTATGTCGCTGACAATAGGGAGATTGCAGATAAGTTGGGTTGGAAGGCTGACAGCCAGGACCAGAATGACACATGGCCAGTGACTAGCCATGCGTTGGCTGAGGTAGGTGAGAGTGTCTAACGTGGTGAGCAAAGACTAATGTGGCTCTTGTAGTGGTTACATCGATGTGCTTTCTCTTGGGGGGGCTTAGGAGACACAAGAACACCCTTCAAGACTTCTCAGGTTCCAGATAACCTCATTTTCGGTTCTAGTGAGGCCAACTCGTTGATGACTAGGTGAGTCAGCTTCATGTAATAGTGCATTGTCATAGGCGTCTATGATATTGATAACATTTAGATACGAAAAGGCATGGCAGAGCCTTGTTACCAAAGAAAATGCGCGACGTACCGGACAAGAAAAGGGCCAACAGAGAGCCTACCTGGTGTCCCAGATTCTGCCTATCACAGATGCAGACCATGCCAAATATGAGCCTATTTTCGCCAAAAAGACGCAACAGAGCCTACCATCTTACTCCAAAGTGCCTGACTGGTTATGCTACAAGATGAGATATTCCTTGCATGTCTTTAATTACAATGGAATGGGAGAGCGAAGGAATGCCACATTCGAAACAGAGTTCTACCCCTTCCAGCGACCTTTCTTCACCAAGTTTGAGCAAGAGCTTGATATTGTCTTGCTTGAATCAATCTACAATCTTCCAAAGAACGCTGAAGTGGAGGATTCTCAGAGTTCCATCAAGCTTAACACGAACGTTCAGGAACGCCAAGATCATCAAGTCGACAATGCGATCATTGAAGAAACCATATTCCAGCTTACTAAAAGCAGAAAGAGACAAGATATTGATCTCTTTATCATGCCGGCTGATTTTGGAGGTTTGGTATTGATGCCACCAAACAAGACCTACGAGCTTATGGCTTTGAATGAGAAGCCACACAGGTCCAAGGAAAAGGGTAATACAGAAGGAAAGGAGAAGTCAAGACTGTCGCTACTGCAAAAGAAGCGGTTGCGCAAAGGCCAGGAAAATCGAGAAAGACATGGTGGCAATTCTGAAAAGTACGACGACCATGCGACCGAATATGAACAGAGCCAGGGGAATTCAGCACCTGGAGAAAACCCTGAACCCAGAAAGATAATAAAGTCTGAGAAAAAGGTTGGCGCGGTCCAGAAACTCAGTAGAGAGCCAACCTTCAGAACAGTGGAACAGAAGCTCTCGAAGCGTGTCAAAGCTCAGAACGCACCGAAGGGGGCCTCAACATTCACGCTTGAACCTGAGGTCGCCACAGAGTGCATTGGAAATGACAATTACAACACCAATACTTTCCCAACTGAATCAGCCTTTGAGGCGCATGAGCGCATCTGGGCGGATTTAGACGCGCCTGGGAACATCTCTGTGGGCGGCCTATTGTTGGAGAACGCCCAAATAGTGACAACACTACCAGACGCCACTGAAGCTATTCAAGCACCTACGGAGAGCGCTATTGGCGACTTGCAATCATCATCCGCTACAGTAATCTCGTACGTGATGGCTGATACAGGCCTGATACCGTCCTCTGATATCAATAACAGTGACGGATCAGCTCTGGTTACAGGCATGGGGATCGCCACTGCGATGGATGTAGCCTTCGAAGAAGAGAAGAAAGAGCCGATGGATACTCAGACCAGCGCCGCCCCAGTTCCAGGCCAATATGCCGTGATGGGGGACTTTATGCTCTTTGGGGTTATGTCTGTCAAGATCCAAAACCTTCAGTCACTGAATACCCAAGGAGAGGTGTTTCGCGTCAGCCTCACAGATGACATGGCCCTGGGAAAACTCGTTCCATGCCTGAAAAACTCCCCCATGGACGCCATTACGTTAAGCAAGACTACCTTGTCATTCAGAACGCACGATGCCAAGATAGAACAGGCAGGCCTGACCATGAGCACCACTGTTCACTTCTCAGGCGTTCTTCAGCCAGTCTCTGAAGCTCTAAGTTATATCTTTGGCCAAAAAGACTCCAGGGTTGATATGAGCTGCTTGCTGAGCACAAGACGTGATGCTCTCAAAATGCTCCCCCAACCAATTGGTTTCACTCTCCGAGGCGCTTTACCTGATGTTGATGTTGACATTTTCGGCGTGCTAAAGATTACAGATATTGGTATTGATCTCACCGGAATGCGTCAAAATGCAAAGGGTGATTATAGCTTCTCCTATGGATTCTTCGGGTCCGGCGCAATATCTGATGTCTGTGTGCGATGGCACATCACCAAGAGTGGAGAATTCTACCGCATTATGATTTCCACACAGAGCGAGACGTGGAGGAATGTCTTGGGAGTCTCAGGTCTCAACGTAAGTTTCAGTGTCTTGATGCTGTGAATTCATAGAGACTGAATATTGCCCAGCTTCAAAACGTCTTGTTCGAGGCAGATTGGATAGGAAGCAACATATCTTCTGTTACTCTGAAGTTGCAAGCGACATTTGGTATGACCACTGGCCTTGTTCTTCTTCGCGGGGTGTATAGTAAAGGTTAGTACAATGTGTCTCTCGATGACTACAGCGTCTAAACGTGGGCAGAAAACAAGGAGCTTGTCGGTGTCCTTGAGAATTGTTCGCTGGATACCCTCAAGACCATTTACAAAGACCTCACTGGAAGAGCTATCGACATCACCACGGACCACAAAGTAGAATTCTCTAGCCTACTATTCAAGGTGTCGAACCAAGGCATTGTACTACACGGAGCCGTTGAGATCGATGAGCATACGTCAGCAGATGCGACCATCATCATCGGAGCCCAAGGCATTTACATCAGCGGATCCGTCTCAGGCTTCACTGTTGGTGACGTGGAAATCATTGACCCTGCCATTTCCATCACCATCTTAGATGGGTTCAATTTCCAACTCTCGGGCCGCGTCAAGTTCACCGAAGAGCATACCTTCGATGTAAGCGTGTATGTTAACAAGAGCTCCGGCGAGACGATCGAGTACACAGTTTACGGCGCCTATACAGGCGAGTTTCACACCCGAAACGTGCTGAGCGTTTTGAAAGACACATTCTTGGACGTCTCTCTGGAACAAGTTGCAATTTGCTTCAGCAATATGGAAAACCCACAGATCAACATCAAAGAGAACGCTTGTCAATACCCTATCAGACGAGGTTAGTTCCAACTACTAGCTGAAACTTTTGCCATTCTAACTGAGAGTGTCTTGACAGGATTACAACTCTACGCCACGACAACCCATTTAAAGCAGGTCCGAGACGTTCTCGGGCTTAAGGATCAAAAGCCGTTAACCATTTGTGCATACTGGTCGCCAGGTTTGAACAGCCTAACAGGTTCCAGCTTCGGTATTGATATCATTATGGACACGACGGATGTGGTAAGAAATAAGCAATCCAAGTCGAGCTTTAGTTCAATACTGACAGTTGTAGCTCACATATGGCTCTCTGAGATCGGGGCCACTTTCAATGGGAGTTGACGTCGACATGGGAGTCGGCCCCCAACTCCAGATTAGTGGTTCTCTATACATAGATGTTGCAGAGCAACCAGATTCACTAGAGCTCAAACTCCGGCTCAAAGCCGGCGCTATAGGGGCAGAGGGTTCCGCGTAAGGCATCCCACCTGAACACATACGAAGACGGAGAACTAAGGTTTTGCAACAGGGCCATGATTGGCAAATGGAACAACCCTCTCGGAAAATGCAAGCAGCTATCTATCGCTGATCTATATACTGACCTGCGGATTGACTACGCGGTAAGTTTGCTAAGCCTTCATGAGGTATAAATGCTCATCAGCCATATAGAAGTTCTTTGCCACAGGAACCCCGACAAGTATTACCCTCGGGGGGACTTTCGGTCTCCATGACTTCGAGGGCAGGGTGGACTTGCACCTTGGCACAAGCTATGAGCAGCTGATCAGACTCGACATCCAAAACCTGGATGTGGCCAAATTTGTCAAACTCATAGCTAACCTTATCGAAGTGGACATCAGTATCCCCGATTCCAAAGACACTTTCTACATTCGCAAGCTTCTGGTATACGTGTCAACAGGCATCGTTATTAACGGAGTGGAACATCCAAGGGGTATCAAGTTGGACGCAGACATGACTATCTTGGGAAAGCGTGCGACATTATTCGCTGACGTAGTCGAAACGCATGTCAAGTTCAAAGGTACCATCGAGAGTTTCAAGCTCGGCGACTTTGAGATTCGAGGAGCCCGGGCCACACATCCGAGTATTGACCTGGAGATATCCAGGACAGTCCAGAAAATATTCATTGATGGGAAGATCATGTTCCAGAAGGACGTTTGGATTGTGGTCATTGTCGACATCGACGTAAATGAGGGAAAACTGTTCTTCTACTTCGATCTCAAAGTTTCTGACGCATTGAGAGTCACAATCACCGCCAGCTTAGATGGCCCGGCTCCTAACGCAATCCATGGAAAGGCTGAGGGGAACGCCAAGTCGATCGATGAAGTGTTGGGTGGAACACTTGCAGAAAAGGAATTCAACATCACGGGTGAGATGAACCAGAACATGAGGAAATATTTGAAAGAGCTTGCCAACAAGATTCTCGTTGAAAGCGGTGATATAAACCGCCAGGCGCAACTACTGAACAACCTCTCGAATGCGTCTGCAGCTTATGAGAAGGCCAAAGATGCTTTTGAGGCAGAGAAGGCCCGTTTAAGCGAAAGTGTCGAAAGTCAGACAAGAACGATCGACGCTGAATTAGCACTAGTGAGAGGCGAACTTGATGAGGCACAGTCTCAATATGATCAGAACACGGCTGTGGCTGAACAAACGAAGCGTGATCTCCAGTCTAGTCTCAACACGAAGATCAGGGATACTGAAAAGGATGAGACTGCTAAGGACCTGGAGGCGGTTCGAGTGGCAGAGAAAGCGGAGATTGCTCTGAATGAGTGCAGAATGCTTTGGAAAGTGCTTTCTTTTGCTGAGACAACAGCCCGACAAGCCAAGAACAAGAAGGATCTAAGTGAAGGTAAGATCAATGACTTTATATTTGCCTAAAGTATCTGACAATAGCAGAGGATTTAGCAAAGCTCGAACTGAGATGTAATGAACATCAAGCGAGAGAGCCACCGAGAGATGCAATTGCACATGCCCCTTGGGAGTTTGCACAGATAACACTGCAGGATGAATTGCAAGGTATCTATTATTTCCCAATAAGGGGAGTTGAAGAAGAACTAACACATGAACAGCAAAACGCGCCGCATCAACGCAAGCCGCCAACGAATACAAGGCCGCTTTAGTCGCACACGATGTCGCCGCATTCGAAGCTGCATCCGCGAAACTCACCGAGCTTCTGAAGCACCATCAACAGGCCCAAGCAATCCTAAGTGGCCGAGAAGCTGCCAAGGCCGCGGCCATCGCAGAAATCCAACAGGTTGCAGAGGAAAAGCTTCATGAATTACAAAAGATCTCCGAAGCTTCTGCCACAGTGCTGAAAACAAACCTGGATCTCGCCATAGAAAAGGTGGAAACAAACAGGGCCTCCAGCAAGACTGCCAAAGAAAAGATCCTCCAAGACAACGACAGTGGCAACTCGCCACAGTACAGGGATATGTGTGAGAAGTACGACAAGATGGTGATGGCAAGAAATGAGGTGGAATCCTTCACCTTCCTGCTGGGCATCATTGCCGCTGCTAGCCCCGAGATCAACGACGCCCTGAAATACTGCATCAGTGCTTTTGATAACTCAGTGCTCGATATTAAGAGCGTCAAGTTCTTGGGGAAATTTGGCAGGAAAGGCAGCATGGCCAAAGCTCATATTGAAGCAACAGTTGCAGGTGTGGCTCAATCTTTCGATATTGAGTTCGACGTGCGGGACATAGTGGACCTTGTAAAAGAACTATGGAAGGAGATTACAAAGGTCATCACAACTGTCGCCGGCACTATTCAGGAGATCTTCAAGCAAGGCAAAGAAGTCATGGACAAGTTTGTGAAGGAGGCCAAGGACGGAGCTCAAATTGTTGCTGATGAGACCAAGAAGTTTGTAAACAACGCCGACAAGGAACTCGACAGGCTATCCAAGGAGATGGCCGACGACGTATTAAATACTAAGGACTCTGTCGACAAGGCCAGCAAGGGTATAAATCCTGGTATAAATCCTAATTCAATCAACGAAGTAGACCGGGCACATCAGCAATTACGGGATACAAATGAATGGATTGATGATTTTACTTTTGGCATTTTTAAATAGAGTTATTAGTTAAATTAAATGTTTAAGCTTTACTATAAGCTTATTAATAAGTTTACTTTCTTAATAAATTAATACTATTAACTGATTAGCTATATATAGTTTTTCTTTTCTTAATATAAAGTTTTATAATAATTAATAAATTTTATTATAAGCCTTAAGTATTATAAAATAAATAGTTAAAAGTTAATAAGGACTTAGACTTTATATATAGCCTAAGCTATAGTTTTCTATAAAGGTATATACTATTTTTTAAGATAAAGTATAAGAAGAGTTATTAAGTCTTACAGTTATATACTTAACATTTTCAAGCCATGGGATGGTGTAGTATATACTTGCCTCCTATGCATTAAGACCATTTTCCTAACCGCGAAGGCGAGGTCTAGGGTCAGTAGGACTGAAAGGCAAGAAACACTATCCAGTATCCAGGTATCTTTTAAAGCCTGTTAGAAAATAAATAAAGCAGTCCTAGAAATAAATTAAATAGCTAAAATTGAAGCCCAATTTAATACCCCGATATATCTTCACGTAATCAATTTAAAGATAGTATCAATCCTGGTTGCTATAACTATTCTGTAATAACAGCCTTCCTAAGTTGCCGGATTATTATCCTTCAATGCTCGCACCTGACCAATCCGATCGGTCACCTGTCTATCTTGTCCTGTTCCTCGTCTGTTGTAACGGGCTGTCCGACCTAAGGCACGCAAGGATATAATCAGTACGGAAAGCGTCTAACGGGGATATGAAGAGGGAGGCTATTACGGGAAGAGGTTATTTGAACAAGAATGGGCTCACATGAGGTTGGACCCTAGCAGCCACACTCTGATTCATTGTCCAACGGGTTAGCTTGGCCCGGGCTTCAAGAAGTGTAGAATCAGCAGGTTCGGAGTTGCCATTCTCGTCCAAGACCTGTCTCTGATACTTGGCCACCTGGGCAACGCGCTCAGCGTCTTCAAGGGTGGCAGGGCTAGTGAGAACCACACGGTAGGCGTTGTCATCGACCATGACAGCAGCAGAACGAACAAAGCATGTCCCTATGACGGTTTTGTTGATTCCCCTTGAAGCAAACCGATAGCAAAAGAAAAAAGCGTCGAGACGATTGAGTTCACCGAGCTCATCAGAGACAAGTTCACTAGAGGTAGCGGTTAATGCGACTGTGTATACAACGCTCTTCAAGGATCTTGACTTACTAAATCTTTTCCGTCTGGGCTGAACCAGATGCAGATCCAAAAAGCTTGTTCAACAGCGAGCCGGCCAAATTCCCAAGACCCTCCATGACCTTGCCGTCATCAAGCTTCACGATAAGGTCTTTAGCAAATTTGCCAATGTCTGAGCTCTCACCAGTGAAGATGTCAATGGAAGTGCGCCGACTGATAATGTGGCTTATCTTGAGCAACTTGTGGTCGTTGCCATTTCTTTTGTAGTCATGTCAGAAGAAGCAGATGAGTGTTCATGTTTGATGTCATACTCAATGTCGCTGAGGAAGTTCTCAATTTTTTCCTGCGCCCACTGTGAGGCAATTTCAATGGCTTCTTCCATAAGAGCATTACGATCAGCCGTCTCTGTAATATTCGAGGCAACTTGTATTGCAGACATGGCGATCAAATGCGGTGATGATAAAAGGATTTGAGAAGCTTTAGAACTGTTTCTAAATGGGATGCAATAGATGATAGAGAAAGACGGAGAGCATTGTTGTATTAACAACAGGTTATATATAGCGTTCTAAGATTGGCCTAGTTGCTAGTCATGAGGTCCCTGGTCAGCTAGCCACAGACAAAGCTCTAGGCCAGATTTTCCAAGTCAGGCTAATTCCCCACTCAATGTAGTTAGGTTGGACAGGGGTTGCAGATGAAAGTGGCGACCTGAAGCGTCGTCTGGCGACTGGTCTACTCCGCAGCTGGTCTAGATTGTCCCCCGCCTATATCAGAACGAACTATTCGCTTTACGTTCTGTCGGTGGAGATCACTAGTCCCGATAAAATGGTGTCGCTATTTCTACTAAAGACCGAAACAAGGTTATAGAATATAATATACCTATAGCATATAAATTAACAACTCCAGCCACGGTCTACAGGAATAATAGCACCTGTAATGCCCTCAGCTAGATCCGATGCAAGAAATGCGATGGTGTTTGCGACATGCTCTGCACGAAGAGCTGGTTCGGTGCCGGGTGGTACATGTATACCAATGAAGTCCCTGTTTAGTTTAGAACCACGATTTCATCTGATGTGAATGAGAAAACTGACGCTGAAGTTGCATATCCAGCTTTATCGACTCCATCGAACCCGCCCGGCACTGACTGGATAATATTAGTAGCGATTGCTTAAGGATAGTTAGTGAAATATATTCAGTTCTGACGAGGAAAAGCATTTACCACCGGGGCATACGGCATTGCATCTTATGCCCTCATTTCGAAACCTCCAGGCTACGTTCTTTGTCACTCCCGCCTATTGCATGACATTAGAACCCCATGCATGAACTTGGATGGTGTGATCAAGCTTCCTTTTGACTTACTAGTGCGTGTTTGCTTGCAGTATATGCAACGCCAGCTGATGCTCCACTGGTCGATGACTTACTTCCAACGTTGATAACGAACCCTGTCCGCAATTCTTCATGAGAGGTAGAATCTCTCGAGTTAGCAGGGTGGGGCCTTTGAGGTTGATGTTGATACATCGTTCCCAAACGTCGTCAGTCATAGTATCAGCACTGGCGAAGGCATCCATGACACCGGCGATGTTTGCAAGAATGTCTAACTTAGAGCCGTATGTAGCGCGATACACCTCAACCGCCTCTTTGATACTGTCGGCACGTCCCATGTCACATATTTGGAATTGGAAGCCTGGCCGATCGATGCTGCAAGGCGTCCGGTCCAATCCCAAGACTTTGGCCCCGAGGGATAAGAACAGCTCTGTGGTACAAAGGCCCACGCCGCTGCTGCATCCTGTGACGATAGCAACCTGCGACACAGTATCGTTAGACGGCTAGGTTCTGGAACTGAGTATTCTTATACTTGGATTGGAATCTGGTACCTTCCCGGTGAGATCCATGTTACTGGGTGTTATTGCTGCAAGTTGAGCTTTAGAGCTAAGTAGCCTGATTGTGTCGGGAATGCGACTGTAATAGGGTTGACTGCTGCCTTGAAGGTTAAGTTAGGCCACGAACAATAACTGCTATCATTCTGGCCTCTATATACTTATATCTTTTAAGTAAAGACGCTCGGCAAGCCGGGAGGTCTTGTCTTGCCGAAGTCAGGTCAACAACATCGACTCGGGGTCTCGGCCAATACACCATACCCGTTGACTCAAGACAACGGGTAATTCACAAAATCCCCCCCGCTTTCCATCAAGTGACTGTGAGAAAGCTATACTACACCAAGTAGGGAGTAGCGCGCAGCGCTATTCCTGTTAAGTTATACTATTTTAGCATAATTCATAGTGTATACATATAATGGCAGGTCGATGACAGTCAGTAGGCGCGTGATCCTCCCAAATACATTGACTGACGCTTTACAGGTCTTATAATAATCGCAGTTATAGGTTGGGTATTTCATCTTCTGGGAATTATGACTGATAAGACAGAAAAGGAGTTTATGACAATCGGATCTGTTACCGCTGCGATAAGTAGGTATTTAAGCGACAGACCTGACAGCTGAAGCTGATAATAAAAGATGCGCGACTCGGTCTAGGTATATATATTGAAGATATCCATAGTCGAGGTCTTTAAATATTATTAAAGGTGAGATCTTACAGTCATCAATCGACGGGCATCACTAATTCCGGGCATCTTCTCTAGAACGCAAAAGCGGCTGTAATACCATCTTACAACCTGGCAATCGTCTTCACTAAATCCCCAGCATTGATGTTCTATCTCCGATTCACCGTTGAAATGCACTTCATCGGCTGCGCTTACGCCGTAATGTTCATTGTTGTAGCCAACTGTATCTTTCAAACCAATGCAGCTACTGCATACCACTGTCCAGCATATGAAGACGAGAATTACCAGGACATCGTGAATGTATACGCACCGTCAGCCATAATCAACTCTATGAACCATTTGATCTTACTGTTGCTACCGTTTTGGTTACTACACCCTATGAAAGTACCTCTGAATCGCAATATTGGCATTGCGCTTATCCTGATGCTGGCGGTTTGTAAGTATCTCACCGTCCTTTTCACGAATGGAAATAATGACGCTGATCCCTCAAGCGTCATGATTGCCAGTATCATCCGGTTGGTGACAGCAGTAAAGGTCGATGAAGACTTGGACTTTACGTATAGTCAGGGCTACGGTCTACTATGGAGGTACGTTATGCGTAACTCTATCGCATTCTGGAGTCTAATTCTTAAGCAGTATTCTCGAGCCATGAGCTGGTGTTATCTGTGCCTGTCTGTCATGCCTGATGCGACTGGTTACTCGATGGTTTCCAGCCGTTAAAGCGAGGTCGTGGTTCAGTGGATCTGAAGGGCAAACAACGCCTTCCAGTGTTCAGGTATTATTCAAAATTGTCTAGAAGCGCATTTAAGATTTAGAGAAATAAATTAAGCCATTACTTTAATATGCTACGGTTTATCTATATTGAGTCGGTTATTGATTTATTGAAATGGACTTTAGGGCCTGCTTCGATAACTGTAGTTATTTATATAGAATAGATATTATAAGATTAAGTAGTAATAGCACTGAAGAGATACAGTACCCGATTTGAGCTTTCCACTGGATAAAGGACTTATATTAAATTAAGTCTGAGACTATAGCACGAGCTCATGATCGGTAAAAATTTATATATTAAAACCACGGGCCAGAATATATAATTTCCTTCTATCTGAGCTACTTAAGCAGCTTAGGCTTTTGAATTATTCTTCCGCTATGTTAGCGAAAGCTGCTATAGCCTCTTTTAGGAAAGCTTGCTAATAGACTGGATTTTCTATAATTCTCGCCCGCTGTATGATCTTTCGAAATGGTGTAATGGCTTAGCAATAAATTGGGAGACGCTGGTTTGACCAGAAGAGACCTCGGCAACCCTTGAGGAGGAACCAGTGAAGTGGTTGCAGCTTCGACGTTCAGAAGAGGTTTTGAAAGTGGCTTTGCTGCTTCCATTGATATACCCAGAAAAGGGAACGAATCAGGTCTTGGTCGTAGGATACCCTGATCCGGCTGTTCTTCTGCTATATGCTTTTCGACAGAAAGACCATCGCGGGCGGCCGAGAGGGTTATATTCAGATCACCCCTACCATAAAGGTAGCGCAGCATGGTATCATACCCAGTCTTGTGCCCAAATTGAGATGCGGGTTGGAGCGACTCGCCCGTTGTATCTACGGCTAGTGGTAGCTGTCTTGAAAGTAGATTTGTGGCTGGAAGAGACTTTCTATCCCGTGGCATAATCTTTCCAACAGGTCGGTCGGAATATTGCTGCAAATTGTCGCTTTGAGCTATACTACTATACCTCAACCTTTTCGCTGCTGGCGCGATATTTCCCCTAGATTGTTTCGCTAGGAGGCGATCTAAGGAAATATATGCGACGTGAAAGGGGTCTGCCACTGCGCGGCGCCGAGACCAAGGGCGGCCTAAAGCTATTAGAGGGTTTTAATAAATTCAATCTTATCAAATATACCTCTATCTGGCGGAGTTCTGATAGACTGCTCCGTAGGAGATTTGGAGCCAAGGAAAGCATCCTGTATGGAGCGACCCGGATTGAAGCATGGGTGCATCAAGCTCATGTTGAAGGTCAGGCTTAGCGGGCGTTTCGGTGCTGAGGTCGCTAGCACGGGCTGCGTGTGGGCTTTGGAGCTGCGCAGTACACGTTGCGGGGTGGTGGGAGGTTCCAACTAGAGTTCAAGGGCCACGCCTTTGTTCATCGAGTTGCTTTGTGTCGCTTCAAATGGTTCTATATCTCATGCGCTTCCATGCGAAGCCATGGACCTCCAATGCCTCTGCTTCGAGGGCCGAATCAAGACTCCACTGATAAGTACTGGCAGGAAGCGAGGGGGCTAGTGTATTTGTTGATGTTGCGATGTTTTTTGTAGGGCTAAAATGTTAGTGTAGTATCAGGATCGGAGCTTGGCGAGCAGTCAGATTTGGTAAGGCTGTCGATCTGTTAGGCACGTGATGTCAACCAGGAATTCAACAGATTTAATTAAAAATGCCCTATTTTCACAGCATGATGTTCCATTCTAAAAGTCTCCTGAAAATTATATGATAAGTCTAATCAATCTTCTCTACAATTTCTTATAATGCAAGCCGCAAGCGTCACAAATTGTGAACGCTCCATCGCGTCCACCTCGCCATTCCCCGCTGTCTATTCGATTGCATCCAGGGCATTGGCGGTTCAAGCTAGCTGGGGGTGTATGGGCACTCTTATCGAATAGAGATGTGTCTCGGTCCTGACGACGCAAGTACTTCTGTAATTCATATGGTTGTGCTCGACGGCTGCGCCCTTGACCCCACTTGAACTCGACCTCATCGCCTCTGTGCTTTCCCTGGCCGGTATTATTTATGACGGTTTCTGGGGGAGAGACTAATGCATCTTGTGGCATTTGTGAATCGATTGGTTTCCAGTTCTTCAAGAAATCCAAGGCGTCTTTAGATTCCTTTTGTATACCGGACCCTTCATTTTGAGCTACCGCATTATCACCGTTTGCCAAACTTGGCAACAAATATGGCGAACGCTGTAACAATTTGCTGCCATTTAGGAGTATAGAAGGCTTGTCTGTCCGTCGTCTTTTCCCAAAGCTGGCAAGGAGGCTATCCTCATGAGCCTCCTGCCCGGAAGTATGATCTTGTGAGATTGTGTAGTGGGTGTTCCGAAGTCCGCAATCTGCTAGTTTGTATGTACTGCGGTGAGAGGCGAGGGGTTCGTCAGGTCTATGTAGATGGAAGCCATTCTCAACTTCTAGTAGCCCTATTGGCCTCAGACCGGGTGTTGACGCAGAGTATGAGTCCAGGGAGACTTTTCGTGGTGCATATTCAGATGCTGGCTCTGGCGCATAGGCTTCAACTTGCATATTCTCGCCTTCAGCTCTGACCTCAGCGAGCCGGGCTGCAGGCATCATCTTCTTCCAGCCAAGGTCTATATCATCCACTTTGGCATGGTCAAGTTCCTTAAACGTATCCCAGCTAATGCCTGTCTTGTCGTCTGTCTTAGTCTTGGTGGCCTTCCCCTTCTTAAGAATTCCCCCAGTGTCCTGTCTAGTACCGATACGGCGGCCTGCGGATAAAAGATGACGTTTGATCGTGATTGGTGAGCCTGCCGGGGTTTTTGCGCCGGACCTGGTGATCACCTGCCCCAGCATTTGCTGGTTGTTCGACATCCCTAACTCAGATTTTTAAGGCTCTGTTATTTGGACCAGGGCGAAGTCTTGGCGGAGGATAGCGGCGACACTGTCTGGTGATGCTGAAAGAGTGTCGTGTTCTAATCGTTGTCATCTGACCCCAAAGACAGGATGGCGCTTACCCTTAACTAACCATTGGCCAAAGGGCTAGCCAGAATGTAAAAATGGGACGTCCAATCATAATCAGAACAACAGAAGAAAGTGAGGCTCATTGTTTTGTCGGTTACCAAGTCAATATCTTCTTCCGTTCACTATCAATATACATAACGAAGCGATGCGGACGTTCTGTTACTGTTTAATTTAATAGTAGCTCACCTAATTGACGAGACTCTAATTCAGTGACCATCTTTGAGTTTTCTGTACTTGCAAAGGCAAAATGGAGATACGTGCAGAGCTATCGTTCCTTCTGGTCTCTCTTGATCTACGCCTCTTCATTCCAAGTTACCTCTTGAAGTAGATCAACTTCCAACTTAACTAAGGGAATTTCAGCGTATTTTTAGACTGCCTCATTCAACTTAAGCATTACCCCAGTCTTTCTTTTGCATGTTGAAGCCATATAGAGATGTTGGGAGGCACATGTAAAATCCATCTCCCAAGTCGGGCAACGGTTCGTCCTGGGCCATTATCTCAGGCCCGAGGTCGTCCCGATAGCGAACAGGTGCTTGTTGACCGGTTGACGGAGGGTGCATCTGTCTGAAAGTTGCTCTGTCGATCATGAATTGAGAACCAGAATTCTATGAGCATGTCAGTAATCATCCTCCAGGATAGCAAGTAGCAACTGACTGCACCATAGAGATGGTCTTCAGGAGTACCACGAACGCAAACGTATTTTCGATGGCGGCATTCCCAAAACATTTGGCCACGTTGTCTTAGATTGCGAACAGTGCCGTTATCGACGTACTTCATTGGGAAGACCATCAAGGTGTTGATAGGGAACTCCTCGGTCAATGAGGGTAGAGCTGAGACATCAAGAGTCGAATAGAGTCGCTGGAAGTTGCCATCAAAATCCCAGTAGCTTACTTGGATTAATGCCTGGAAATTCCCTTTGGCTGGTGGACTGCCAATTATAGCAAGCCAACTGGTTGCAGTATATGCTTGCCACTGAGCCACAGACTGACCCTTAAGCTTTGAGATGATGATTTGCCCAGGGGCCTGTGCCATGTAAGACTTGCGAAGCTTGCATGGGGGTTAAGTAACTAGTACTTACAAAAAGGTACGATAGATACTTAGCTGTAATCTTACCTACCCGGATTAGGGAATCAACTTTGGCCCATTCGTCACCAAGATAAAGCTTCAGATACTGCTGAAACGCTTCCACCTGGTTCTTGGACTCCTGGCCGAGGTGGGACTTTGCCCTTTCGATTTTGCTGCGATGCTGAAACCACCAGAGATATGGATGCCGTGTTTCCTGTACACGGCCATTTGCGTCCTCCAAGTCGAATGTGTCTCGAGAAAGGTTGGTGGACGCGTCCTCGGTGACAGCTACAACGAGCTGGCCCCAAGCAACTCTCAATTCGTGCGAGACAATATCAATATTCTCCCTGACAAGGAGTTCAAATTGACTAGGATCTGGGACTGGGGGCGCCCTGCCACAGCATTCACAATCACGGTAAGCAATACAAACAATGTCCTTGTTCCGCTCAAGATACAATTCCAGATTATCGACCAATCGGCTGCAACGCAGATGAGCTCGATAAGGACCATTTTCGACAAGCCAAGGTTCATCTAGGTAGAGACCATGCTCACCAGAGTCTTGACAAGTGATTCGATTGATGATTTGAACTCTAGGCGGCCCTTGAGTAGAAAAGGCCAATCGCTTGAGAGACTCAGATTCTCTCAATAGTTTATCTTTGATCTCAAGCTCCTCGATTATCTCGTCGTCAGTGCAAGTACTGGGCAGGCTGAGGAAGCTGCAGATCTTCCGTCGCCAGTCGATCATCATAGGGGCTCGGTGACGGGATTGAGATAAGGGCTGTTGGCTATCTAGGTGGTTGTGGTTTTTAGTTGAGACCACAATCAAAAGGTCGACAGATTCACTCACCGGAACCATCTTCACTGTCTTCCCCATTTGGCGACGACGATTGCGAAACGCCGTCCTCGGCTCTGACGACTGTCCCCGAGAGACTGTCCATAGCTGGGCAAATAAGATGCAAAATCGCGGCCACCGGGGAATATGTCAGTAGAAGGTAACGCGAGAGAAGTATTTATTGAGTAGCGGTTAATGGTGAAGGACGAAGATAGATCGAAAAATAGAGATTCACGCTGTCCTTTCAGCCGCAGTGTCTGCCTAATATGCACATTTGCGTCATGTGTGCAGCAATGATAACCAATAGCAAGGTACATGTAAGCGCCAGCCTCGTTTCGAAAAAAGACATCATGCCACGACTGCGACATCGTATTTTCTCCATTTGTTTGCCCTGTGAACTAAGAGGTGAATTCGAATTTCCAAGGAGACTCTATATCTCTTGAGGATGGATCTTCGCGAGGTGTTAAACCAGCAATCGTTGAGCGTTGTCCATTTCGCCGGCCATGGCAGCGCCCAGAACCACGCTTGCATATACTGTCGACGATCTCAAATGGCTTGTGATCTCGAAAGACCGTGCACCAGATGCATCAAACGGAATATCGGACATCTATGCCACGACGAGCCAAGCGACAATGATTCCAATAACAGAAAGACTATCCAGACTGCCCAGACTCCGCAAACCAACACTATGGGTATAGTGAACTCTAAGTTAGAGAGCTGTCACTACACAATATCGCAAGATCACACTGGAGCGGCAGAGGATCAGAAATACAAGATATTGGCCGACTTTGGGAGAAAGCATATCAAGGCTTGGACCAACTTATCACTTGCAAATATGAACGGTCTAACTGCCGATCCTGATTCTTCTGCCGAAGGCCTCGATTCCCTTAGTGGCCCAAACACCCAGACATTCACGGGTGAATCGTCAAAGTGAGTGTCTATTATTCTAAGCCATCCTATCTTGGTGCCAACCTTCGCTATAGCTATCTTATCACATCAGAGGAGTTCTACGATGTTTTAAGTAAGAATAGGTGGTCTCCCATTGCAGCCACAACGCAATCAGAGTCATTCTCGCCTTGGAGACCTCCTCAAGCACCGCCAACCTTCAGGTCTTCTTTATTGCCATTGAAGGACAACAAAGACCCGGCATTCTACCGATGAGAGATCAGCTTCAAAGCCGAGATCCGATAAATTGAGCCAAAGGCTTGGGCAAATCGCTAGGAAGTCCTTCCATGACTGAAATGAAGGCAAAATTAATCTCGATGGATTTATAACTGGAGTGCTTCTGACAATAAAGCCGCCACCAAGGATGGTAGCAAGAGAATAAATAAACAAGACCTCTCTGCAATAGCATAATGATCAAACTGGCCGGGTGTCATGAAAAACATGCCGTTTCTCGATTCAAAAACCAGAAATTTGATAAGATAGCTTTTAGCCAAAAGTTATAAAAACACAAATACATAACCGCTTCAGATAAGCTATTGCCGCCAGTCCTCTAGGAAAGCTTTTGCGTAGGCCGCTGCCGTTGAAGCGGCATATAATTGCCACCTCTTATCTTTGTGGCTGTCAGAATAATCACAAATACCTTTAATAATCACGCAAGGCAGCGTATCCCAAGCCCCCGCCCCCTCCATCTCGAAAGCAATTATACCTTCACTACGTGCAATACGGTCACGGTCTTCCCCCGACTTCATAACCTTATCTCCAGAGCCAAATTTCCCAAAGTGCACCGCCGGAAACATATTCCATTGATTGCCAGTTGCATCCCTTTGCCGCTTGCGGGCTACAGAATTTGCAATATCGCACTTTAGATCTTTGCAGCTTGCAGAGCGGGCTTCATTACAAACCATACCAGTCAAGTCACCTGAGTTGCCAATACATATGCTGCAGGACAATGGAGGGTGATGCTGGTGTCTATATGTCGACTCAAAAAGGATATCTTCCTCGACACCAGGATTCTTCATACCGAGCACGTCACTTAATGTGTCAAGATATGCATTCGCTCGTTCTCGTAGTCTCCCGCGAGCATTAAGACCTTTGAGCTTGGCCAGGTACCCAAGAATCTCCACCGGCAGCTTCCTAGCGCTCTCTGACACGCTGTTTTTGATCAAGCAGCCATCTGGGTATTGCCTCGCGAAGTCATAGCGAACTAGTCCATCGCTAATGACAACATCGCCGAGCAACAACTCTGTCCCATCCTGAGAAAATGGGACTCCTCCGCATATCCCTACCACTAGTGCCAGTGATATTCTAGGGAAAGTCGACCTGCAGCAAGTAGCTACGGTCGCGGAGTAGGTTGTCCCCATGCCGGGCATATGGACTAATACGACACCATGGCGGCCAATAACTCCAAATGTATACGTGTTTGTATCTCCCTCGGAACGATTGTACACGCCAGTCCATTGCCCATCAAACAGAGTCTCAATAGCATCGGCTTCAAGGGTCAAGGCGCATAGAATTGCTATATCGATTTGCTGAGGTTGAGAAGGAAACGGACTCTGCTGAAGTAACTCCGACCTTCCTACTTCCGGTGTCTCATGGGCAGTAGTATGCTGGTCCCGTTGTTCTGGTATTTTGTCGCCCTGTGGCTCATCCGACCTCTCAGATGTTTCGTGTCTACTACTGTTTTGAATCGGAAAGCTAAGGGGAAGATAGTGTTCCGATTGGGTGTCGATGATCTCCATTCCATCATCTGAACCGATGTCGGGTGCTGGACCAACCCAAAGGAGCGAGTGTGTTTCTGGTATAGACCATAGTGGATGGGCTGCGAGAAGTAGCACTTTCAGATATGTCAAAGACGTCTTTTGCACGCTTGCCATCAATTTGCTCAGTTGGGTAGGCCACGACGTTGTGCTCTCAGCTCGTTCCCCGAGAACAGTAACCGTCATAATGATGATCAAACTTGGGAACATCTGGAATATTCTCTCGAGTATTCTGAACCAGTCTTCGCATGTTGAAGCGTCTGCAAATAGTTGTACCATATCGGCTAGGAAACATATCGGGTTATCAACTGAAGCCTTTCGCAAAGCCTGGAGCGCGATCTGCCGCAGCAGTTCTCGTTCATCAGATCCATCAAAGAAGTCCGCTGAACTCGGAGATGGCAAAGTGGCGACTGTTGGTTCCAGGCTGTCAAGATACCCCCAAACTTCTACAGCAAATCTCTCAAGACGATTGACTGACTCGTAGCCGCCTTGGATCATCAGCAACGATGGCTCGTCTGACCTCGCCCAGTCGTGAAGCTTCTGGTTCTTCCATATATCCTCGGTATAGATATCTTCCGCCAACAACTCGCAGACATCCTGAAAATCTAAGCATTCTTGCTTTATACAAACAGGGTCCAGTATCACTGGCGGGACGCCGCATAAGGCCGGGATGCCCCATAGACATGACGATATAGTGTATGGCGAGCATGACGATGGCGTCATTTCCCCAGCAATCGCTCCTTAGGGAGGTGAGTAAAAAGGGAACTGCAGAGGATCACAGATCACATACCGGATAGACATTCGTGCAGCTGTTCGAGCTCAGTACGATAGTTCTGGTAAATCTGCCGAGGCATGAATATGCCAGAACTGGCAGACTCATAGTCTTTCTCTAACACCTTTGCTGGAATTTCCAGCTGTCGTTGCACTTCATGGAAGAGTCTGCGCAACTTCGTATCCATTCTTAGGTTTCGTTCAACTTGAAATTTCGTGACAGGCTGGTTGGGTGAGAAGACTGACACGCCATCATTTGGAAATCAGGGTGTGGAATTTTCAGCTCGAAGCTGCTGCATGGCGTTGGCTATCTTGCACTGTGATTCAATTGGATATCTCCACGGCTTAGTCAACCGCCTCATTTCACGTGAAGCATCCTACCAATCAATCAACGTGACAAGCGATCATAATTTTCTGTTTCTTTCAACCTACCCCGCTTATCTGAACTACAATCGCGAACACTATACCAAGCTTACAACCTCCTTCAACTAATTAGCACAGTTGAATCTCAGCTTCTTACTACAGACGACTCCTACAAGAGCATCAAGCTAACGACATGACCCAAATACTGCCTCTAGTTGGACAACGGAGTTTCTTACAAGTGGAGCAACTTGGTTCTCCCTTTGGTGCTCACCGTAATGACCACATGCCTTATGGAAACAACACGCATCTAGACTCATCCTACCCAATTTCAGCTGTCGTTTCTAGTTATATTACACCAAGCGCCAGTGATGCCTTACAGTCAAAGTCGCGTCGTCTCATTTCATCAACCAATGACGATCATTCAGGAGAGAACAGCGGTGATGAATCTAATTCAGCTTGGAGGGACAGACCTAAAGTCTCAAGTGCATCAACATTCACACCATTCATTCCGACGCAACCTCGTAAACAGAAAGTTTCAGCTTCACTCACCAAGCCAATCAAGAGACACAATCGCGGGAGCATGCCATCAGATGTTGGGTCTCGCATCGGCGTTAAAGAACATTATTCGTCTGTTTCTAGGAACATGCAAATGAGCCCTCCAACGGTCGATGATCCGGAAGTCGGTCAAACAACGTTACAGATAATTAATGAAGCACTACAAATTATCAGAGATGGCACGAGGAGCCCCGACAAGCTCAGTAAAAGACTTCAGCTTTACCAGGCTGCCCGGTCACACTCAGCCTCCCCGTTTGCTATCAGACAACAGAAACAGAAGCTGTCAGGTATTTCTTTGGCTATGAAGCACTATACTATCTCGCGAGATCATACGAGAGGTGAGGACGCCTGCCGATCTGATCTATTTGCAAGCTTTGGAAGAACCTTTCAGAAACGGCCCGAACCTCAAGGGGAACATACGGATTTGTTTCATGCTGATAAAAGCCCTGTCACATCAGTCGGTGTACTTCCCTCATTGCTGACGTCTTGTGCTAATTGTGAATGCAGTTCGGTGGCGGCCGCATGAAGTTAGCAAACCCTGCTGATTCTGAGCGTATCCTTCTTAACTTTAATTCTTTCCTATTGGAGCAACTAGGAATTGACAGATAACATGTCAGGCCGTTACGACTGTGTTAAGTAGCTTATGAACCTGAGGACAAACTACACTATAAGACACAATACCTATCTTGCCGCGCTTTTTAGTATATTAAGAAATTAATTAATTAGTAGTTTTACTATTAATTTATTAACAAATATATACTTAGACTTTATAAGTAATAGTTAAAGCAATTTATAGTTATATAGTAAATAGGTTAATTTATCTATAGACACTATAGTTATCGTCTAATAAGCTACTTTACTATAACGTTTTCTCTGCTATCTACTGACAATCTACCCCCTCTCCCTTCTATCTCCAGCTCTCTACACTAATGGTTATCGGCACTGCGGAATGTCTGAAGTCAAACAATGCAGAGCAGGCCTAGCTGTCACAAGAATTGGCTGGTTAATAGCCGCTTATGCGACATAGTTGACAGTAAGTTGTCCGTTCTTGACGTCGTTGCCAGGATCGACAGGAATGCTACCGCACTTGGAACATCCATGCTGTCTAAGCTGGTCGAGGAATGTGACAGACTGCTCCTTGGTAAAAGTTCGACTGCCGATGCCCTGGTAGAAAGCACACAGGTTTCCAAATGCAAAGGGAATGCAAGCAATATGGTCACCGTTACCAAAATTGCCCTCCTCGCCAGCAGCAACAGCATCACGAACGTCCTTCAGGTCTCCATTAGGTGTGTGTCCGATGCCTCCAACTCCACAAGTGGAGCTGCCACGGCAGTTAATACCCAGGCGTCTGACAAGGAGATTGTCGCCACGCTTCTCGTAGGCTGCAGGGATTTCAGGGGCATCGCGTTTGGCAGGGAGCTTCTCGCTGACCGCCATGTCGTTGCGTTTCTTGTAGACAGCCGGGCTTTGACGCGTGTCGCGGCTGGTAGGATTGATGACGACGTTAACGGTCAGCTGGCCGTTAGCAACGTTGTTGCCGGGGTCAGTTGGGACGCTACCGCAAAGCTTGCAGCCATGGTCGACGATCTGCTGAAGGAACGTCTGGGTCTGGGCAAGCGAAAAGCTGCGGTCTCCAATGTTCTGATAAAACGCACAAATGGCTGGGTGGTTGCCGATGTTGTTGATGTCAACGCAGCTGACATGCTCGCCATTTCTGAAGGTCTTGTTGGGGTCGATGGCCCTGACCTGGGCAATGAGCTGGCCGAGAGCACCTTTGTTGCCACTGCAAAGGCCACTGCCTCGACAGTTGATGCCTAAAGCATCCGAGAAGCCAACAGTAGCAGCGAGGGCAAGAAGGGAGCTTTTAAACATCATGATGAAGTTCTTGGAAGTTGAAGAAGCCTGGAGTGGATTGTTGATAGTGTAAAAGGAATCTGAGTGTAAAGTGTGATGAGTTGTGATGAAGATGCTGGGAGGGAATGGCGGGAATTTGCTGGCTTTTATCTTCCAAATCTCGCACTCCCGTCAAAGCGAGAACATATAGTATAATTTCTGAGAAGCCGAAGCGGCCGAAAGATGCCATATCGGGCGTTTGACCCTGTTCTGATCAACTGATGATGAATCAGCATTTACTTACCCCAAGCAACTCTGTTGACGTTAAAGATGTATAAGATGTAATATTCAACGTAATGAAATTTGGCGGATCGTGTTTTAAGTGGTAGATACACCCTACTCTGACCAGGGCTGAGACAAGGCTTTCGCCTTGACCATTTACTCCAGCTGTCAGCGGGGATGCTATCTGAATTGCTTTTCACCAGTTTTGGCTACCATGCGGCTATTGTTTTACACAGAGTCATTATAGAGTTCTAGGTATATTATAAAGAAAAGGAGGCAATTATACTTAGTAATTTAAATTCATGGCTTTAAAATATAGTAAGTACAATCTTATATAAAAAGCACTTAGCTATAAGCCTTAACTGCAATGATAGATAATAAGCATTTAAGAAAGCTTATATTAAAGCTAACCATTATACCTAAACGCTATCTCCTTATAGAATGTAATGCGGAGTGTTATTAGAATTAGCACTCTTGCTTTAGGTATACTAAACGGCGGTAAATCTGTCAGCGGGGGTACATAGAGTGTCAAAGCGGACTGTCGATCTCTCAGCGGGATCAACACACACTCAAGACACTTGTCAGCGGGATCTACATATGAGCCGTGTTGTCATCGGGGACTGCACTCGGGCATTTTCTCCGAGACAATAAACGTCATATATGGCATCTGAAGTTAAGCAATCAGCTAGGAACCCGCTCGCCCTAGCCCTTGTGACCCTGGCCAATTGCTTTTCAGCCAAGCGACGGCCCGTCATGACCAAACCACAACTGCCGAGCTCCGCGGCTGACGTGAGGCTCGTAACTACAAACCAACCAGGCTGCGATGTTGTATACACAGCAAGTCTGGGTGATTCGTAAGAGTCACTGCCTTGAAGGATTTTCTTTTACGTCTTACTTCTCGGAAATTGGGCTTATCGTCCGACAAGGCCCGCACAATGTAGCCCACGAGTACACAATGACTGTTCTGTTGCTGGGCAGGGCAGCTTTGGATCCTATCAAGGTGTTGTTTTGACATTGTTCGCGCCAGTTGTGAAAGATGCGGCAATGGGTTTGGTGGCATTGGCCCGGTCAGAATTGGTGAATCACATAAAGAAGCTTTCTTAGCAGCTGCCATAGCTGTCTCCGTGGTACCCGGGCCGCATGAAGTCAGGACCATCTACACGAGCGATGTAGACGGCGCCATCGCCGGACCAGAGCCTCCCGGTAAGATTATCCTCGATTCCAGTAGTGTAGGCGTTGGAACGGCCAAGAAAGCTGTCACCGCCATCATGAAAGCTTGGTGTGATATAGACGTCGATGCTCCGGTTTGGACAAGTAGTTTAAAATTTTCTGTTTCTCGCTCAGTATGACACGATCATCATTTAGCACACCTAAGTAGGTCTCAGCTTCTTTTTCATAACAGATAAGCGCCCCCTCCCCACGTTATGCCAATTTCATCTAGCGCCTGCGCCTTGCGCCTTACTAAGTTTTACGCCCTACTACGCCCTACTACGCCTGCAAAGATCTCTCTTTCAGGCCCAATAATAATGGGACATTTACCAGGGTATAGAAACCAATAATGAATAATGATCTGAAGTGCCGACCGACTCCGTGGCTAATTCCTGGACACAAGATTAGACTTTGGGACCAGATACTTCTTGTCAAGGTGCCGAGGCTATAGCCAAGTCATACCCCGCCATGTCTAATCAGTAAAAGCAACCAACCCCTCATCATACAGCGTATTCTACTCTCATATTCCTTCTCTTTACTCAACCGCTATCATGAAACAAGGGAATTTCTTAAGAAAGGCACTCCAGCAAGCTGATGGACCGAGCATGGGACTCTGGCAGATGGTGCCTGGCGCCAATGTGTCTCGTGCCCTCGCCCGCGTGCCAGGCGTCGACTGGGTGGTGATCGATTGCGAGCACGGTAATGTCGATGGTGAGTTCCGGTCCATGTCTAACAACTACTCGCCGAAAACTGAAAATGTGGAATTAGACAGCGCTATGCATGACGCAGTCCCTGCTGTTGCTGCAGCTGGTGCGTCTCCTATAGTAAGAATTCCCGGTATGGAGTCATGGATGATCAAGAGTAAGATAACCAAACCTTGAGTGGCAACGAATAATCTGCTCACAAACAACAGGAGCTTTAGACTCGGGCGCGCATGGAGTGAGTGTCAGTGGCATCCATATTGACTGCTTACTAACTAGATGCTTAAGATCCTCGTACCTTTGCTTCGCACCGCGCAGGAAGCCAGAGAAATCGTCAAAGCGGCCAAGTTTCCTCCACAAGGCACGCGTGGATTTGGCTCTCCTTACGCGATGGAGCGCTTCAGCCCCATGCCGACGATGACGGAGTATCTCCAGCAGGCAAATAGCAGTCTTCTTACTATAGTCCAGATCGAAACCCAAGAGGCCCTCGATAACTTGGAGGAAATCGCAGGTGTCGATGGCGTCGATGTCCTATTCGTGGGACCATTCGACTTAGGTATGTTGTACAGCACTGCAAGTACTTCCGAGCTCAGCATTAATTGTTCACATGCAGGCAATAACATCGGTCATCCTATCATCCAAGGCGTCGTCAAACCAGAGTTGAGAGAAGCGGTTGGGCGTGTGCTCGAGGTTAGCCACAAGTTCGGCAAGAAATGTGGAATCTACAGTACATCTGGCAAACAAGCGAGGCAATATGCAGAGGCTGGGTTCGACATGATCCATGTGGCAACTGACTTTACATCATTGCAGTTTATCATGACGCAGGAGGTGAATATTGCTAGAGGAATAGAGGGTACTCAGAAAGGCGGTAGCTATTAGAGTCGGCGATTGATGTAGACGAAAAGATTCCAGCTCTCTCAGCTAATCATCTTAGTCTGAGCTGCAGCTAATTTCACACTATCACTATTCAGGGCACCGTCAAACTAGCGTGGATAATCAACCTCCACATTCGGATGAAACAATCCCCACTGCGTTCGTCCCTTGCTCCCAGTGTTTTCGAAGTCCCGGTGTTTTATTTTCCTCCTTCACATGCGTACACACTGCTCTATAGGGAACATGGCATCACAACAAGAACATTGCCAGAACCACTCACAGCTCACCCCGACCTACAACTATGGCCCTGGAGACTGGAGGTCTCTCCAACTTGGCGCTGAAACGGAACTTGCTCAAGACGGTGAAATGCACTGGTATGGAGGATCCCAGCTGCCCGTTCAGACGCATGAGAATCTCTCGGACGACTTACTGCCTGTTCTGGATGGCGACTCCGGATTTTGTTTCCATCAGACACCGTTGGTAGAACCCACCTTGTACTGCCTTGACCTGCCTACCGACAGTGAGGTGGATGACATGTGTACTTCGAATCTAGGGTCATTAAGTCATCAAGAGATGCAAAATCGTACCGATGTCTTTGCTTCTCACTGTCTGCAACAGACCTTGAGTACCTCCTGGCTGGACGATCAGGAACTCTGCCCGACGGATACATCAACAAATCTACCCGCCAATCCCATTCCCATCAACATAAACTCGACTCTCCCACGCCGACGAAGCCGCTACGAGCTCCGTAACACACAGAACTGTGGACGAGGCATTCAACTTCCTGTATATGATGCGAACGAGCAAATCTCCGACCCTCTGCAGAGATGGAGAAACAGTCCTCCTGGAACCGAATCCGCATCCTGGTCAGCCATTTATGACGCGCTGCAAGAAAACCCATTGAGTCATAGCATGCAGGCTCCTCTCACCAGAGTACCATCATCGAGTCCAAGCGTATCCAGTTGGCAAAGCCAGTCTTCAGGCTCGATCGTTTCTTCTTCGCAGTCATCTCGATCGTTCCAAAATCGAAACCGGAGACGCATAGCAAAGAGGAGGAACGACGTCGCTGGTGCTAATAAGAAGCCCCGGATCTTCCATTGCACGTTTTGTTGCGATTCCTTTGCTAAGAAGCATGACTGGACAAGGCATGAGAAGACGCTGCATCTTGACTGCGATCAGTGGATCTGTGCACCGTTTGGTGGTGCAGTGGTATCGTCCGCGACTGGGAGGAGTACATGCGCATACTGCAACATTCTTGACCCTACAGAGCATCACCTCAACTCTCATAACCACAGCGCATGCCACAATGGCCAGCAGCCTCACATTTTCAGGCGCAAGGATAATCTGATTCAGCACCTCCGTGGATTCCACCAACTAGAGACGCTCCCTATCCTGGACGACTGGAGAACACCACCACCTCCGATTTCCTCCCGCTGCGGATTCTGCGATCTACGTTTAAACTCGTGGCAGGATCGCGCGGACCACCTCGCACAGCACTTTCGTCAGGGCAAAACAATGGCTGAATGGAAGGGTGATCACAACTTTGAGCCTTGGATCGCAGCGCAGGTCCGGAATGCCCTTCCGCCATACCTACTTGCCAACGAGGCCATGACCATGGTTCCGTTCTCCGCCACGGATCCAACGGTGCCGGATCATCTCGCACAGATAGAGGAGAGAAATGGCAAGCTTGTTCCGGATCTGGAACGGGAGCAGGTCGATCCTGGGTTTGAGTTGACACCTGACTCGTATACCAAGTTTCTGGCGTGGCATTTGGGCCGTTTCGCTCAGCGGTCATTTGCGAGTGGTGTCGTTCCGACTGATGAGATGTTTCAGGGCGAGGCGAGAAGGCTGGTGTACGGGAGTGATGATAATTGGGAGCAGACTATAGCTGATAACGAGCAGTGGATCGCCACTTTTCGAAGACAGCATTTATCCAAGGAGTAGCACGTTATGTTTCGAAAGTGTCTGGGTCGCTATCTAAGATATCATATCATCACATCATCGCTATACCATTTAATTTCCTTATCGTGAATCAAACCGAAGGCTTCGCTTCATCATCTGGACCAAGTCAACTCGAGTGAACCCGTAGTGTTCTAGACTAAGCTCCACATCTCGCGTTGTCATGCAAGCTAAACTAGTCAGGCGCATTATTGCTCCACAACGCAGCGCCGTAGGGCGCCAACCGCATGAGCCGACATTCCACGAGCCCACGACAAGCACCGAGACCGCAGATAAGCCAGTAACTCAACCCTTTGAAGTCTTTTGACGACGATTACTTAAACTGACTTCAAGATGCAATCTGTGTCTCTTAAACCATAGGACTATACGATATGGGTCATTCAACAGCAACGACGCTGGACTCCCCTAGCGGGAGTCATGTCAAGATTGGACTCATGCGTGAAAGGCGAGCTACAGCTACCAAGATACGGCCCGGGACTGCAGCCATGTCTGACAGTGACATGTTCAAATTACCTGTAAGTATCGAAGCTTCGTCGTGATTGCGATGGGATTCATCAGGATATAGTCTACTGGAAAACCTTTAGCCCGGAGATGGGACAGTATGTTATCCCGATCCTTGGCTTGAGACCGAATGTTGACAGCTTCAAGCACACTTCAGTAGCGAGAGCAACCGTCCGCCTTGTATTCTCAAACAAGCCGCCGGGTACATCAACACACCCGGCCTCATCTCCCTTGGGGGCGGATTACCTTCTAGCGAATACTTTCCCATCTCTGAGATCGCCATACGTATACCTGACGTCTCTCAGAAGCAGGATCCACTGGACTCGCCTGCTAGCACCGCCCAGATAGCTCGCATTGGCAAATACGATACCGCGAGCGGCATCTCGGACTACGACATATCTATTGCCTTCAACTATGGTCAGGCAACTGGATCCCCACAGATGATGCGCTGGGTGACAGAGCACGTTGAACTTGTCTACAATCCGCTTTATGCAGATTGGGCTGTATGTCTGACAGTCGGAAGTACGGGGGCTCTGGAGCAGACAGTTCGTATGCTCTGCGACAGGTCCAGGAATGATTCTATCCTCACAGAAGAGTATACCTTTGCAACTGCCATGGAGACCTTTGTTCCACAGGGCATAAAGGCCTTTGGAGTCAAGATGGACGAGGAGGGTCTACTACCTAGTCACATGGACCACGTTCTGGAAACCTGGGATGAAGAGGCTCGAGGCGCTCGGAAGCCGCATCTTCTTTATACTGTACCATCAGGGCAGAATCCCACCGGTGCGACGCAAAGCCTCGAGCGGCGACGTGAGATCTACAGTGTCTGCCAAAAGCACAACATTTTCATCATCGAAGACGAGCCCTACTATTTCATCCAAATGAAACCCTATACAGGACGGGGGACTGACGTCGCGGAGAGTGAGACTGTTGATGACTTCCTGTCCAGTCTTGTCCCATCGTACCTCAGTATGGACGTTGATGGCAGGGTTCTTCGAATGGACTCATTCTCCAAGGTTTTGGTTCCCGGTTCGAGAATGGGTTGGATAACGGCTAGCAAGGAGGTCATACAGAAGTATCTCTGTCACGCTGAAGTGGCAAATCAGGGACCCAGTGGTATATCGCAGCTGATCGTCTGGAAACTAGTGGATGAGACGTGGGGCCATGAGGGTTACATCAACTGGCTTATTGACCTGAAGACGAACTACACCAGGAGACGCAACGCCTTACTCGCAGCTTGTGAAGATTACCTACCCACTGACATCGTATCGTGGACGCCTCCGGCCGCGGGCATGTTTGTAAGTTGCCTAGGTGATATTCTTTCCTGTGTGTTCTGACTTTGTGTAATAGCTATGGCTGAAACTGGATCATACTAAACATCCAGACTACCGGCATCGTAGCCTGGGTGATATCGAGGAGGAAATCTTCCAGCATAGTATTAAGCAGGGAGTTCTGTTTGCTCGGGGCTCGTGGTTCAGAGCCGAGGCGCACAAGGAAGTGAATGAGTTGTTTCTGCGGGTCACGTTTGCGAGCGCTGCTGAGGAGGAAATGTGTGCGGCTGTTCAGCGCCTTAGCGTAGCGATTAAAAAGTCATTTCGTATAAAATCATAGACTCCTGGGCATAATAGCAAATAGAGAATATAAGTCACAAGCCTTGACTTTTCGGCCGATGTGTGTTTAGAGCAGTGGACGTTCAGCACGTCATCGATTCTTCCTTGCATCAGTGCTTATTCCTAGGTTTCCGGAAGAGACAGTGACTTCGACCAGTAGAAAACTGCAGAGCTTCTAAGGATAAAAAAGGTATTTATAAAGAAAGGAAATTACTTTATAGTAAGGAAGACTGGCGATGGAACATTAACAAATATGTAAGTAGCATTAAGTACTGTAGGGTGAGTAGTTTTTTAATTAGAGGACTTGATAGAAGCGGGGCTGCTAAAGTTCCTGGCAAATCACCTGATTAATGTCATGGTATAGCGGCCCTGCTGGGTGGTCTTGACAAATGGTTCGTTGGAACGAAGGAATGATATCACGAGAGTTTCTACATTTCGCACCGTCATCCGATTAAAGCCAATAAAAGAGTCATATACCAATTACTTGATCCTTTTACAAACCCAATTTATTATTCTCGCTTCAGTCTGGCCAGTCTCCTCTTCAAGACCCTGGTGCGGCTAAAGGATCGCAATCCCTGCAAGGCAGAATCGACGTTTCCGTTTTGGTAAGTGATTCAATTAGGTTAGCGATTCGATCAAATCCCTGTCCATTCGATCATGACAGCGGCAGTTGGTCGTGGCTTATTCTTCTCAGCCCTATCCTTATGACGACCTTGGGAACAAAAGAGCCAAGATGGACAGGCTGCCTCTTCCAAGTCCTGTGTACTTATAGCCCACTGCCTACAACTGCATTATACCATCACATCAAAGTATCAACAATTCTTCTTATTCCCTTTCTCAATGGCAAGCTCAGAAGACCCTGTTCCTCCATACCGCGGCGCCCCTTTCCCAACGAAATGGCGCCGAAACCACCCACGGTCAAAGAATGGATGTCTTACGTGTCGCACTAAACGCAAGAAGTGCGATGAAATCAAGCCAGTCTGCTCATCGTGCACTCGAACTGGACAAGAATGTGTTTGGCCCACCCAAGAGAACACTTCTCAAAGAGCTATTCCAGAAGACGGCAATGCCAATGAGCCACTCGGAGTCTCTGACCCTTCAACGGACTCAGCAGCCTTGCAGTACACGTCCCGTTCACCTTCTCCTCAGGCTGCCCCGACCTACGGCAATCTAGCTAATATAAGTGATAACTCGCGTCCGCTTTATCAACAGTACCTAGATGTCACAGCTGAAATGCTGACTCGAGGGCCCTGCCTGGATGGAAATCCCTTCATTCACTATCTTCTCCCATTGGCTGCAACTGATACGCTGGTTCTTGATTGTATCCTAGCTATTGGAGGAGCCCATCTGACTGTCAATGACACGACTTCTACTATCCAGAGAGCTCGAGCTTTGGAAGTTGCGACTCGTGGTCATTATGCAACTGTACTAGCAGGATTACAGAAGCTTCTGTCTTATGAAACGGGTCAGATCACCCTCCCGGATGAACTTACCGGTCCACCTACCCCAATCCGTATCCTGCTGATTTTATTACTCCTCTGCGTATACGATGTAAGACCCTTTCACGTAACAACGTCATTGGACTGGTTACTGACACTACCAGCATGTTCAAGGCCATTCTCGAGGCTCCATGTATCATCATCTCAAAGCTTGTGGACAGTACATCAATATCCTCACATCTGAGCCCACGCCACCTGATGAATTGAAATGCCTGAAAGGATTTATCCTGGAGCTCTATGCTTATCATGCGATCAAAATCACCATCACGCCTCGTAGCTTTCTATCTGACGAGGTAGTGGAAATTGACCCATCGGTTTATTCATTGGACATACTAAAAGAGTACAAATCCAGAGGATTTCTGCTCGGATTCGGGCAGGGTCTGTGGGAGATGGTCCCGGAGATCTCTCAGATTGTCGAAGCTCGTCGGGAAGAAGAGAAGAGAGGCGTCATAGCCACTACCGCTTTTCAGGAGCAGTACAATTCACTTTTAACGCGACTAGAAGGCTACAATGCATTTGAAGAAGACACGAACGGTCTTTGCTCACGCGAAGAACAGGATGCAGCTGTGGTGATATATCAGAATGGTCTCATCGTATATCTGCAGTCAGCCTTTCACCCGGACATGCTTACGGATCCGAACCTCGCCGCGGAACTCGAAAATCGAGTCGGGCGGACCATGTCAGCCTTTTATTCATTGTTTGTTAGCGAGTCACCATATCGTCGAATGCTCCTCTGGCCGGGCACTATCATGGCCTCAGTCGCATGGCATCAGGAGCATATCCGCGTGTTCCGTGCTGGATTCTTGGCCAGAGCTTCACGTACCCCTGGTGCTGTCAAGATGGGGGCAAAGATAGTTGAACTTCTTTGGAGTGATCCTGATCCTCGAGCCTTCGGTCCAAGAGGTGTGGCTTATATAATGACCAAGCATGATATTAGCTTGAGTTTATGCTGAGGAAATGTTGTATGAAATACATTATATATGTATGATATGCTGGCATATCAAATTAGGTAGTCTAGGGTATTAAAGGTTGCAGTAAAGTTCTAGGCAATTCTGCCTATCTACGGGCTTTGACACGATCAGTCACGTGCCGATGTCTTCAGAAGCCAAGTGTATAATTGCTTCGAATATGGGTTCGCCATTAGGTACTGCATTAATTTCTCGAGCTCTGAATTTGGTATACTAAAATATCCTTAATCTTACAGAGCATCGCCTGAGCTTTTATAACCATACCAGCTGCCATGATGGTTAAGAGTCAAACTTTTATTGGGGTTGAGGAGAACATATCCACATCCACTTGGCGCCATGATCTTATAGTCGTTGGCAATAGCTGGGAAAGATCCGCATCATGTCATCATCATCTCGGTGGCCACTCTACCATGGGCCTGCACATAAGTACAAATCACAAATTGGAGCAATACTCTGGGGTGCCCGCCGTAAAATCAATGTCTGTGATGAATTAAGAAACAACACCATTTAACTATATAGGCTATTGTCATATCATTTCGATCACCTCGCCAGTCGGCGGAGCTCAATATCACTTGCTGAATCCGTGCTGTTAGTGTGCTCACTGACCCTTACCCTTGGAGCACTCTCCCTTCCCACTATTTCGGTATTGTTCTTGATGGGCTTGAAGACCCAACGACCCCATTTCTTGCGAATCACATCCTTTATAACGCCCCGGCTAGTCGTGAAAAAGATCAAAGCGTTCCAGAGACCCTGCAACGGCATAACGGCCGCTATGGCAACTTGGTATGAGTATGGAACATCACGGTTAAGTAGACTATGGATACGTGTGATGCTCGCTGGTACCCACGTCACAAGGACGCTCAGTGTAAACATGAAGGTTGTGAATAGGTAAGCCCGTTTGATTGGGTCTTTGAGCCAAAACTTGGATTTGGTTCTACTGGGGGTTGATGATGAAGATTGTTGCTTTTGGCTAGGAGGAATTGGCTCCACGGTCGTGGCATTGGGAGTTGACTTTTGCGCATCAGACATGGCAGTAGCGGATGGATGTTCGAGTACTTGTACGTCAGTGTCGGTGTTTGTTTCTGTTACCTTTTGTTGGTCAGCTGGACTGTTTTTGCCATTTCAGACAAGGGGGTACCCATACTGTTTGAGGATCGGTTACTGTGGTCTGAATGCGCGAGTTCAAGATACCTCGAGCCTTATTTCTTGCGCGAAAGAGGCGAAAGCCGACCGCCGTGTTCAAAACGATTGACGTCGCGATGCAGATCCATACAAAGAGGTATGAGGTGAAGAGTCGTATGCTGACCCAAGACTCTCGAATCCAGCACCAGGTCTAGTTCGTCATCAGTTTGTTGCTGGAACTAGTTTCGGTTCCCGACTTACAGTTGTCGCTCCATAGACAGGACCACGCGCTGGAGTCGAGATGAAAAACAGTGTAAACCCTGATATGAATGGTCCCCCAAAGCAAATCAGAGAATACAGCCACTTGTTGAACGTATGCGGATTCGATTGGAAGAAGACAATCCTGAAGGTATTCACTGACATACCGAGAGACCACCAGGCATCAGACTGCATGAATCTTTATGGCATGTTAGTACATATGCAGAGGGGCTTCCAGAACATGAATATTACTTGCATGTGTACCAGGAAGCTTTGCGCCCTGCAAAGTGCCGAGTCCTCACCACGAGCCAATCCGTCGCGTGAAATAACAGTCCCAATGCTAGCGCCCAAATTCGCGATGCTCGCAAACACAATAAACGTATTCCGAGGATTGCGCAGCCTCGGTATGCTTCCGTACGTCACGAAAATAAGCACTACAGCCACGAGGCTGATTGACGAAAAGACCCTCTCCAGCAGCGCCAGCAGCTCTAGCTGAGAGTCGGAGAACATCTCGGTCGCTTCTCGTGCGATTGATTGACTGGCATTTGGGCGGTGGTTGAAAGCGACAGTGACCGAGGTCAGCGGTGAGCGGAGAAGGTTTGAGATGGAAGCTGAGAAGATGGGGCTGTCTAGGTTTCAGTATTTCAACGGTGCGAATCCTGGTGGCTTGAAAATTTGCCTGGGCTTGGTCGGAAGCCGAAAGATCAGCACGTTTGGGAGATAGCTCCAAGGCTATCTATTGGCTCTGCGTGAAGCCACGATGGCCATTCCGCCAGTGCTGACCAGGCTAGACTGCTTGTTATCTTGTCTAACCTCATTAGGCATGTCGTATTCTTGAAGTGCGCCCAACTCGCCGTGATACCTACGACGCACGAGTCAAGCCTGCATGCAATTTAACAGCTGTTTCTATTGCGACCTGGCTTGGATATGAAATTCTTATAGAAACTGTAGTATAGATACAATTGTCATGGTATATTGATAAGGCACGGACTTCACTATCTCTGTACTAGAGGAAACAGGCTGCTATCAATAAGGTTTGTAAACAAAGCACTGACATTAATATTCGTGAGTCTCAGAAAACGTTTCATACGCTGATGGAAGGAGAACATCCAATTGTCGCGTTCGATCTGGACCATACACATCTGCCTTCTAATATCGCGGAAGAATGATTAGTTCAGTTCATACATACTCGAGGTTCGCATAACTGACCTTTTCTGGCTTGGCATCTGGCGTCGGCATAAAGACAGCCTTGCCGTCATTTCCAAAGTACGCAAGATCCTATCGTTGTGTCAGATCTCACCGATGCAGTTGAGTTAATAATAAACTCCTTACCTTGTCAAACGCTAACTGATTCTTCTTGGCAAATGTGATCCAATTCTCACTAAAGGGTGCGCGAGTCACTTCAAGACACCGGAAGTGCCAGATCTTCCACTGGCCATCTTGCTTCAGAAAGTCCAAAGCATAGTGGCACCAGACCCAGTGAGTCCAGACTCTCTTGCCATCGACGTTCTTATCTTCAGGCTCGTAGAGAAATTCTGGCATAGTTCCCACGTTCTTGGGGTCAGCTAGGCCGCTTTCAACTCCAGCCATCAACCAAAACCCCTTTGCAGTTTCACCATCGCCTGCAACTTCGATCAATGGGGTGGTAGTTTCGTGTAGGATCAGCTTTCCAGGTGGTGACGGTCGGCCGCTATGGTAGGCCATAATGCTGTCGTAGTCGGTGTACACTCCGACATTGGTGTACTGGGCGTGGACTCCAGGGGTACCACGCTTGACCCACAGAGCCTTGATCTGTTCGTCTTGGAACACATTGTGAAGATGCATATACTTGCTGAACACGTTCTCTACCTCTCCTCGATCGTAGGCCTGGGAATATTAATGAGTGGATTCGGAGAGTATGCCCGTGTTTCTTACTCGTTGTGCTAGCTTCTCCACGGCCGCAAGTCTCGCCTCGAGGGTGGAACCAGAATCGTGTGAAGCCATTGACAATTTTCAGAAAGGTTCGCAGTAGTTTGAAAAGAGGTTCGTGGCAATACTAATGCTTATCTCTTCATTGACAACGACAGATGTCATGGGCTTGACTTAATATAGCTACCTCCATAACCATACCGGGGACTGTACTCCTTCCCGAGCCGAGAGGCCATGTCAGACGCTGACCTGTCGTTAAAAGATCTGAAGTTACCCCGGATTATGCACGTCGTCTACGAAGAGCCACAATGGATCATCATACCCCGCGTTCTTAAGAATTTAAGCACTTCGGTTGTTTTGTCGGCTCCACTTTCCCGGGCCGTTCTTCGGTTCGGATCCGTCGTATTCAGTGATTCGACAGCCGTTTAAATGATCATTCTCGGTTCCAGCAAATCGGCCTTCATGAGAACCAGCCTCGGGCATAAGTAAGTGAGAGACGATCTTCCCCGCATTCTAGGATCGGGTTGTCCACATACTTCCGCCTATCAGGCTACACCAGGCTTGCATATATACTGCGTGATCGAGAGATGCCAGGTCAAGTTATGAAAGATCCCCGGAGACCTCTTCTTGGGATTCAAAGCTCTCTATCGCTGACATCTTCTTTCATCTGTCATATCAGGGACCAACATGTCCGCCAAGAATGAATACGCGGAGCATACGGAGGAACCAGCTAAGAGTTCAAATGCGCCATCGGGACACGCAGAGGGAAATGCGCTTCTCGTAGACGCCCATGGGAATATCAGACGGCTTCCAGTTCCTTCGAGTAACCCCAATGACCCTCTTAACTGGAAGCCTTGGCAGAAATGGGCAGTGATTGGGACATGTTGCTGGTTTTGTAAGTAACTCATACGACCTTCCGGATATCTCGATGGCCAGACTAACATTCTGATAGCTATCATGGGCTTGGCATTGATTGGTGGCCTAGGACCAATCTTGGGCATCTTCTTCCAGCTCTATGGTCCACAGGGATATGGGCCATCTCAAATTGCATTTCTCCTTACTCTGCCATCTCTTTGTGTTGGCCTCGGTAAGTTAACATCAACCTTTACGAAAATGAGTAGCTGACCTTGAAAAGGCAACTTCATCATCCTGCCCGTGGCGCTGGCATATGGCCGACGTCCAGTCTTCCTAGTCTCGACTATTATCCTTCTCGTTGCAACGATAGGCTCAGCGGCTCAAAACAGCTACAATGGCCACCTGGCAAGTCGTGTCATGCAAGGCCTTGCCACCGGTGCTTCCGAGTCGCTGCTGCCGCTGATGCTTACCGAAGTTACCTTTCTTCATGAGCGCGGGCGCGTGTTTGGCTTATACTGGACGGTTCAGAATGTACTCAGCAGCACGATGGGTTTGACCAGCAGCTATGAAGCTGCAGCTCTTGGCTGGCGATGGTACTACTGGGTGTTCGCTATACTAGTCGGCGTGGGGCTGGTACTAGCCTGTCTGTTTGGATTCGAAACTCGCTTCCAGAGACCAGTTGTCAGTCTCGATGGAAGAGCTGTGCTGACAGATGACTTTGGGGTCACGCATGTCGTTCCGGATAGCGAGGCTCAGGAGTATCTCGAGCGTCATGGCATCGAAGACCAGCGCGGCGACGAGGCTGACGTGCCGTTGAAGACTTATGCTCAGATGCTAAAGCCATGGGGCAATTCCCACAAGACTCCAGGACAGATCATGTTGCTGTCATTGCTGCGTATGGCGCAGAGCATGACTTCTCCCGCTATTCTCTTCACGGTCCTTGCCAGCTCAATCACTCTCGCCTGCGTGGTTGACGTCTCACTAACCTACGATGCCGTTCTCCAGCAATATGGATGGAATCCAAAGGACATTGGTCTCATCAATCTTGGTGGCATCATTGGTGGGTTGCTGGGTGCTGCTTACTGCACCTTGCTAGGCGAGCCTTTTATCATATGGATGGCCAAACGGAATCACGGTATCCACAAGCCGGAACACAGACTAATTGTTTTGATGCCTGTGGCCATCCTCGGGTTTTCGATGCTTATCCTCTATGGGTTCATGGCAACAGCAGCATTTGAAGGAGGTGGTTCGTACTGGGGGATCCTGGTTAGTTGGACTCTCTTCCAGGTGACATTTACCAGTGTGCTTATTGTCACAACTACTTTCGCTGCTGAGGCTAGTCCCAAACACCCAGGACCAGCTCTTGTTATGGTCATTGGAACTAAGAATATTGTGTCATTTGGAGTCGCATACGGACTAACAGACATGGTGCAACATGGAGGTTACACGTGGACCTTTGGGGTACTGGCTGGCATCTTTGGGGCAATTTTCGTCCTTGGAATTCCTATCTACATGCTTAACCCGAAATGGAGGAGATATGTTACAAGGGCTGAGGAGAAGAAGGGCATTACTACCACAGATTAAGGTTAATCAATGTACTTCTTACTGCCTAATTAGGTAGTAAGCGGCACTTCTATTGTGGCTTTAGCCGCCGCCGGCCTGCTCATGTCAACGCCGCCAAGACTACAACCATGATGAAAATGAGGAATGAAGTAAAACAGGGCGAGTGGTGAGCTACATCTGGTGTTCAAAGAAAGCTTTCTTAAATTTCCCATATGTACGAGTCCATCTTATCAAGCCAAAGTTAAAAGGTAATAATGAAGGCTCTTTACACGTTGCGTAATTACTCTGTACAAAGCCGACATCGAAAGATAAAATGGCAAACAGGGCAGGATACCAAAGACTGCATAGTAACCCACGGGATTCCGTTTTTCATGCCTCCATGATTCGCCGTTTTCGGTTTCTGGGATATGTATTAGTCCTCTTGATTAGCTTCGTTGAGTAAGTCCCAGTCAATATGCGGGCCTTTGAATTTGGACCGTCTCTCAATCCAGAGGAGGCAAACTATCGTGAAGAGACCAACAACTACTGGGGCATTACTGCAAGATCAAGGTTAGCTTTGTGCGTGGTGGATTCCAGCAAGGACTACTTACTAGTTCATAGACCCGGCAGTTGTAGGATTGGTCTGCGGAAGACAGAACACAACGCCAATAACAATCATAAACACAACCGAGTACAGATTGACTGCATAACCAAGTTTACCGAGGCTAAAGGCACGTCGTGGCAACTTATCGCGGCCTTGTGTAAGCAAGACTCCCTGAGGGATAACGTATGAAAGGTTCAGCATGAGGCATGTTGCATTGATAATTGAGTTGAAGGCCGTTGTGCTTGCGACGTAGATCAAACAGTAGAGAGCGCAAAAGGTGGCAGAAAGAAGCGTTGTTCTCCATGGAATACCACGCTTTGGATCGATATGCTGCCAGTATTCGGCCAACGGAAGTCCTTGCTGTAGACGCTCCTTAGCGATGACTTACTTCAAGAAATCTCGTACTTATATCGCGAGCAAAGGCCCAAGTAATACGGCTGCAGGTCACCCACTGACTTGGAATGCACGCTGGAAACTCGGTCAGAAGGTGTTACATAATACCAACATAGGGCACTTACTATAGTAAAGGAACGTCAGGTAAGCTTGCAGAGCAGTTGCAGCGGCTTTACTTCCAGTGGCCTGGTAAAAGACCTCGAAGCTTGGGAGAAAGGAACTCTGAACAGCGCTCAGGTCCTTGATAGAATAGAGCATAGCAACGGTCCATGGAATGACGATGACGATGCCCATAGGCATACTCATGTTCCTTGAACCTTGTTAGCGTTAAATCACAAGTCCAAGCCTCCATCAACTAACCGGACTTGGGGAAGCTTGCGACCCGGGCTGGGTAGCTCCTCGGCAATGTGTGTAACAACACCATTTGCGGCGAAGCAGTAGAGTACAGCAGCAATGTAGGGGAGCCAGCCTGTCCCAGTATCCCAGCCGTAGATGCCACGGTTTTCGAGTATAATTGTGCCCGGAGCGTAATCCTCGTCAGCCATGCCTAAGCATACTGTTAGTTATAGTTAGTAACGCGATAGCTCAAGGAATATAGTAAAGAGAGAGATCAAGAAGTACTTAAAGTTTATACTATTAAGAAAGTCATATTAAAGAAAGGTCTAAGAACTCTCTATCTATTCCTTCTTACTAAGCTGGCATACCACCCTTATATGATTTCCCCTTAAGAAAGCAGTGAGCGATATCAAATACAATCTGCGACCTGGCGTGTAGTTGGATGGCGTATCCCACTCTGTTTACTGTTTTCCAATGGTAATCAGCGGTCGGAAACAATACACCAGTATCTTCGGTGATTGGTGTGCACGCGGCCAAGCCCAGTACAGGACTACCAGGGCCACAGACAGCCTGATCCTGCTCGCCATTGAGCACCAACAGCCTTCCTTTGAATTTAGGTGCCGCGTACTCGATGGCATAGATACTGACGAACTGGCCAACACTGACTACATCTTTGCGTTGAAAGAAAAGGTTTGCGACCTTGTTCTCATAATCAACCTGCTTCTTGGATCCAAAGAACGAGTTGGTACGACCGACCTGACTCGATGTCGTTAGATAACCAACGGGCAAGGAGCCAAACCGTGCAGGATCAACTGCTTGCGCTGGAAGCGGGGCGGCCAGGGCCACGCCAAGTATGTCTTGCTGGAAGTTTTTCGAGAAGCCAGTGAGTATAAATTCGTCAAAGGCCGTGGGTTCAGCACCTGCAATGCCCGCGCCGAGCTGCGAACCGTATGGATTGCCGATGAAAATCAGATGCTCATAGGCTTGAGGAAGCTGCCCGGTTGTTCCTGCTCGGATATGCTTAGCAAGAGCTATGTAAAGTGCAATCCTGTGATAGGTAATTAGTACAAGATATAAAGGTTGGGTGGGAGGAAGAAAAACCATCACGTACTCGTACGGTGCCTGAACCAAAAGGACTGGATCAGGATGTGAAGACTTTCCCGTCCCGAGTCGATCAATAGTCAGTGTGGGATACCCTTTTCTGTTGGCATATTCTGTCCATGAGTATCGGTCCGGCTTGTATGGGTCAGAAAACTCTGGGCTTCTGAGGGCATCCCAACCACTTCGATCTGCCGTAATGCTTCCAAAGAATACCTGTAGCTTGCCATTGTTATCGTTATGCACTGATGGCTCGCAGTAAGTACCGGCAAGAGTCTGACATCCGCCAACTTCGATCACTGGCGCGACATGGTAAAACTTCACAAGAGAATCTAAGCTTGAAGTCAGGTCGATACCAGTGATATTTCGGTTATGGGCTGAAGCAGTAATCTCGAAAGAAACCTGCCGGCACTGTTGCTTATTGTTCTGGTTGGTGGCGGTATGACCTGCTGCAGCTAGCCAAGACCAATAAATAATTGTAAGCATAACTAGATGCATTTTAGCCGTTGCTGGAAAGTTGAAATTGAAAATATTGGGTAATGTTATAGGAGTACTGGAGTTAAAACCTTGGGACCTTGAGATCTATATTACGGGGGCATTTATATATACCATGTATTTTCGGTCATTGTCGGAAGACACATACGTACGTGCACTCTAATGGCAACTGCCGTTTTGCGCGAACTTTTAGAAATTAGAGTTCAGACTAAGACTCTCAGGTCACCAGATACAAGAATTACCGCAGACCAAAGCAGCCACAACTGTACCCTTACCAATAGCGCAGCGTAGTTCTCAGCTCTGTGCAGCTCGTGAAACAGTCGAGCTACCTTGACACGGACGATGGCCAGGGTTGAATCACACATGCTTTGGACATTGATCGTTATAATGTCTAAGCATAATGGGGACTCGATGGGCCCCAAGCTTACCAGCTGCTGAGCAGGTCGAGATTATCATAATCTATTAAGTAAATAATAAATCTGCAGTTAGTAAAGCAGGCTATAATCCTAGCTTTTATATAATAAGCTTAACTTTAGATTTTTTATTTTTTATTATTTAAAAATATATAAAAATATTACATATTTTATAATTAATATAATTTTTAATTAAAGTTAAGTTAGCTTTTATATATATAATTATTTATAATATAAAATATATAGCCTTTAATATATATATAAATAAATTAAGTATTTTAAAAAATATTTTAATAATTTTATAGCTTTATTATAGCTAATAT